ATTGTGTCTGCCCCGGAGTGCTTCTCGCGCTTCGTATCCGTGGGGTCTCCGTGGATCCTCTCCAAGGAGGCCTCCTCCTTCCTAATTTCTTCCCATGGATGCCGGTAATGCCCCATTGTCCTTCGTTCTTCGTTCTAGGGTTTGTTCCCCTTGTTCTAGGGCATTACTTGACATTCCGTGTTTATTGTTTAAACTATTGGGTGGAAGAGATCTCTTTTTGCCTCCTGCTTAGATTGCACATCTTTGAGAGTAGAATATGGCTAGTGTGATTCATATTTCGCGGTTAAATCTAGTCCCTACCAGTAGTACCACTGTTCAGCGGTTCTACCGCCTCTGTGGGCGGTACAACCGCTGGAGCGGTACTACCGGTAGGAGAGCCGGTTCAACCGGGATATCTGCACCATGTAGCCATGTTTAATTTTCTAAGTTCATGCAATATATCTTTTCTTCTGTTTGTGTGTGCAATCCTCTCATCTTTGCTGGGTTTCTTGTGTTCTCCTTGTGTGTGTGTTCAGGTGGCTATAGTTCTCGCTCTGCTCCTCGCAAGACCAAGAAGAGGGCACGACGGACCTTGCGTCCAGTTGTGTCTGATGACGAAGAAGAGGTTGTGATTCCCACCAAGCCCAGTCACCGTGAGAAGTCTGTCGCTGCCAAGCAACGTGTGGTTTTGCCCTTGCATCATTGGAAAGCCAAGGATTGGGAAGCTCTCCGCTCGAAGAATCCTTATGAGGTTCCCATTGCTCCTCGTGGGACCACTATTCAGTTTCGGGATGAGATGCAAGTGCGGATTGTTCATGAACTCTTTGAGCACAACAAGAACAGGTATGCCAAGTAGTGGACCATCGATCTTGACCATTGGAGGAACAACTTGGAGTATTTTGGTGAGGCACTGGCTCTTTGTGAGGAGTTTGATCTTGTCAGGCTCATGTCTGTCAACTTTGACTTTGATGTTCAACTCGTCCATCAGTTCTATGCCACAGTTCACTTTGGAGAAGATGACGCGCGCACTCTCACTTTCATGTGTCGTGATGAGCTCTTTCAAGTTCCCTGATGGGCCTTTTGCAATGCTATTTGGTATGACGATACCGGTCTGGAAGGTAGAGGTGGCATTCGCCCTCATGATCATCCTGAGTCTACGCCTAAGGAGAAGCTTGCCCCTCTGTACATTCGGGGTCATGGTATTATTGGAGAGTCTAAGGATTTGGTGAAGGTCTATGACATCATCCATCATGTGTTTCGCAATGTGCTTCTGCCCAAGGTGGGAAATCAAGATGAAATCCATGGCTATCTTGTTGACTTGATGGTTGCAATGAAGACCAAGGTGGGTTCTGGGGAAATGTTTGACGTGTCCAACTGGCTGTGGCACGATATGTACAACATGGTCATCTACAGGAAGGTCCCCATTTATGCTCCGTTTGTCATGTGCTTTCTGAACCCGGTATGGGAGGTTCGCCGTCCTGGAGAGGCTCTCACCTCTCCCGATAATCTCAGTGTTCATGAGGTCAAGCTTCTTAAGAAGAAGAAGCACGCCGAGCCTCGCTTCCCTGCCAATGCTCCTGAGGATGTCTATGCCACTTCTGACAATGAGGACTTCGAGATGGAGCCAGGGGCCAAGCCCTCTTGGGTGGACAAGCTCACTGCCAAGGTAAAGAAGACTTTCTGCCTCCAGTCAGACATCCAGAAGAGGATGTATGAGGCCCATGTCAATGAAAAGCATGCCCGGCGTCGCCAAATTGCAACGATGAAGCACCTCAACATGTCGGTTCAGAGTGGCTCTGAGAAGAGCATCACACCGGAGGAGCATTGGATATCTACCCACAACACCTGGTCTGATGATGAAGCTCCTCCCCATCCATCCACATCCTTTGCTGCAGCTGATGATTCCATGGAGGAATTCGATCAAGACGATGTTGACGAGTCTAATGATGATGCGGATCCAGATGCTACTGAGGAGTCGGAGGAGGACGACTGAGCCTTGGGACGCTAGCTTCGCTCTTTCTCCTTTTTGGTGTCTTGATGCCAAAGGGGGAGAGAGTCTTAGGTCTTGGGATTTGCATGGGTTTTATTTGCCTTGTTGCTTGTGTTTTTCCTTTTCCGTCGTTTGTGTAGAACTTTGGCCTGTGAACCTTGTTGCTTATCTCTGCTTGCATGGTGTAAGACATGTGTGTATCTATCTATCTATCTTTATTTTCCGTGATATTGTTGTGTATTCCATTATTATCTTTACCTTCATGTTATGGTCTTATTGCTTACCATGTTTAGTAGGAGTGGCGAGTCTATAAAATTTAGGGGGAGTCTCGTCCCTAATATGTGCTCTCAAATAGCCTTCTCAATTTGGGGCACACATCTAGGGGGAGTCCCGTCTACATTTTCTAGACTTTTCACTTGCAAATCGTGGTGTTGTCATCATCCACCAAAAAGGGGGAGATTGTAAGGTCATTTCCCTACTTTGTGTTTTGGAGGATGATGACAACCCTTTATTGGCCTAATCTTATGCTAAGTGTTTCAGGTCTCGGTTTTAGCCCCTCTTCGGTTAGCTATTCTCTCTGAAGAAAAAAAGATCGAAGACGGTGTTTTCTACATGTTTGTTTATCTCTTTTGGTCATAGGGAACCCGTACTATCAAGAGGGAATCCACATTGGAAAGTGTTGGGGGTATCATTTCACGTACACTTACCTCACCCCTCTCTTGCCTTCCTAAACTATGAGAGAGAGAGCTCTTCCCCTTCCTCCCTACTGCTTACTGTGGGCTCCAGTGGTTGTACCGCTCTCTGGAGCGGTTGTACCGCTGGGTCTTGGCGCTGACCAGTTTTGTTCGAGCGGTTGTACCGCTGCTTCCGGGCGTGCTAGCCCATATGCTAGGGCGGTTGCTCCGGCCAGGCACCGCCCAAGTACCGGTCTGGTCTCTGTTTTGATGTGGTACTCGTGCGATGGTGGCCCGGTTGGTCCGGTCATACCGGTACCACCGGTGTCTGGAGCGGTTCTACTGCTCAGGACTTAGCCGCCCGAGCGCTCGAGGCCATGCGGTTGCACCGGCCTGGTGCCGCTCGACTACCGCACTCAGGGGTGACTCCCTTCTGTTCCTATGCGGTGGTTGGGCGGTGGCTGGGCGGTTGGTCCGGTTGTTCTTCTCAACCGGTACTACCGCCTGGTCGCCCGGTTGTACCGCCTGGTAGGGTTCTGCACGTAAACTGTGAGTCCCGGTTGTACCGGGACTAGGAGCGGTTGTACCATTGCAGTACTGAGAACACAGTAACGGTTGGATTTTTAGGGTTGCTATATAAGGGTGCTTCTTCCACCTACCACATTTACCTCTTACCTCTCTCTTTCCACCATTAATGCTACTCAAGCTCTCTTTGCCCGATCTCTCTCTCTAGCCACTCAAACTTGTTGATTTGCTAGGGATTGAAGGAGGAGGCCTAGATCTACACTTCCACCAAAGGATATTTGCTTCCCATACTTTCTTGTGTGGATTTTGTTACTCTTGGGTGCTTTGTGCACCCTAGACGGTTGAGGTCACCTCAGAGCAATATTCATTGTGGTGAAGCTTCGTGGTTTCGTTGGGAGCCTCCAATTAAGTTGTGGAGTTTGCCCCAACCTTTTTTGTAAAGGTCCGGTCGCCGCCTCCAAGGGCACCAATAGTGGAATCACGGCATCTCGCATTGTGTGAGGACGTGAGGAGAATACGGTGGCCCTAGTGGCTTCTTGGGGAGCATTGTGCCTCCACACCGCTCTAATAGAGACGTACTTCCTCTCAAAAGGAAGGAACTTCGGTAACACATCCTCATCTTCACCGGGTCCACTCTTGGTTATCTCTTACCTTTACTTGCGCAAGCTTATTAGTGTTACTTCTCTTGCTTTCTTGTATGTTCGTTGTTGTTGCATCATATAGGTTGCTCACCTAGTTGCACATTTAGACAACCTACTTTGATGCAAAGTTTAATTTGGTAAAGAAAAGTTAAAAATATTTAGTTGCCTATTCACCCCCCCCCCTCTAGTCAACCATATCGATCCTTTCAGGGAGGTCCACAGGGGCAGTCCCCGGTGATGCTGGAGCGAGCCATGACGACGTCGAAGTACAGGGGCGTGGGTGGCAGGGGTGCGCTGCCGGAGTTCATCGGCGCGAGCGGGGGCGAGGGCATCTTCCGCATGTCGTACATGCGACCATGCACCTTGGTCGCCCGTCGGAGTTTAGGTGCGGCCCCACCCGCCGCGAGGGACGCATGTGTGCTCCTTCCTACGGACGCTCGCGTGCAAGCCACATTGCCGGACAAGTCTGGGCTTCAGGTGTGCAATCAGCGGGGATGCGTCTATCCGACTGGATCTGGATGAACTGGCCAGCCGCGAGGTGGTTCCAGACGAGAAGGTGTGACGGCGGGCGGTTGGCGAGCTGCGGTGCTGGCGGCTGGTCCACGCGGGGGGGGGGGGGCAGCGCCGGCTGCGAAAATACCAAGACCCACCAGCGCATGGCGGCAGGCCACTCCTCGGCCGGGCACGGGGGGACCCACCGGCGCATGGCGACAGGCCGCTCCTTAGCCGGGCGGGCAGGCGGCGTCCTCTTTGCCTCGCCCTTGGTGCGACAACGACAACGAGGGGCCTCTGTCGTGGCCGGGGTCGGAACGGCCGACGGTGTGCCTCTGCCACGGCTCTGGACGGGTGGCGGTAAGATGAACACTTTTTTTTTCTTCCAGTGACATGTGGACCCCATAGGGCCACACATGATGATGATAATACTACCAAACATCGCCGTTACATGTGAGATGTTAAGCGGTGCCACGTCAGTCTAACTGGTGGGCTCCACCTGTCATAAACTCATTTAACAGGGTCAGATCCGCCGATCGATGGTTTTTACAAAACCATTACGCAAGATATAGTGTTTTGTGTAGAGAAAATGTATCTTAGTATTTTTCGCAAACCTAGCCTTTAAAATGATGGTTTTCTACAATTTACTCTCCTTCGTTTGTCACTTGCTCACTGCAAGTACAGCAAGGATCTAATTAACTAGCAAAAACTTGATATTTGCACCCTCGCGTGCCCGTCCGGTCCTCCGATCGTCTTGCCCGGCGCTGCACGGCGGCTGTGGAACGCGTCATGGCGCTTCCTGACCAGGATCTCGATCTCCCGCCGCTCCTCCCTCGCAATCTGCTGAGACCGGCACTCGGCGCTGCAGAAGGCTTGCTCTCCCCTGCAGAAATAATCCCAAGAACCGTAAGAATCTCAGCTCAAGCCAAGTAACAATAAGCATAGAGATTGAATGAGGAGGGTGCATATCTGATCTTTCTTACTTGTACACGAAGACGTCCATGTCGCCGTCGATCTTCTTGCAGCAGCAGAGGCAGCACTTCAGGAACTCAAGGCCCAGGAATGGCCGGCAGCCGCTGCTCTCCTGTAGGTCGGCAGCGGTGGACCTCACCGACGACCTCCTGAGGACGGCCAGCGCCGGCCGTTGTTGTCGCCTCGGCGAGGGCTGTATGATCAGCCGGAGCCCGACGAGCTCGCCGGCGGTCGCCATTGTTGACGTCCCCGCCTGATCCTGATCCTGATCCTGGGCCTCTCCCTCGCCGATCTGGAAGAGGCTAGGAGACCTCGAAATCATCCCGGCGAGACAACAAGTTTTTAGAGATGCTTGCTCGTGGTTTATACGTGCTCGATCCTTGAAACCGCAGGGGTTAATTCCTGTGAGAACTGAGAAGAACGACAATGGCAATGGAGAAGTATGGCGAGCTGTTGATGGTTATATAGAGACGCGATGCCAAGCTTGCACGCGTGTATTTTAGTTTGGTTTGTTGGCATCGCGAAAAGTGAGGCTGTCTCTGCCAGTGCTAAAAAAGAAAGGCTTGTCGTACGTACAATATTCGCCCGCATGCTACACATGGCGCAGGAGCATGGAAAAAGTTTGCAGCGCCGTGGCACAGTGCCGCATAGTACAGATAAGATGACCCTAATGAGTCACGACTTACATGTGGACGCTATCTTTATTTATTGTGATAGGGAGCAAGACGTGTCTCTCCTGTCGCTTACAATAATTCAGATGTCTCCTTCGGTGCCCACAGTAGATAAGAAATCAGCGGTTACAACGTGCTGAAGTTTCTTTTTCAACAAAAATTCTCCCCGGTGTCTGCATCGAACGATTACATTTTGCTGAAGTGTATGGTACCGTGCATTTTTTCCTTCGGAAGATCTCTCCGGTATCTGCGCCGACCGATGAAATTTTGCTGAAATGTATGATACTCTTATGCATTGGGGAGGTAAGTTTCGTAGAATAGTGCCATGTGCATGATACTCCCATGTAATATAAGACCGTTTAAATCACTATCTAAATGATCTTATATTTCTTTACAAAGAAATTACTAGTTTATTATATTACCCACCATGAAAGAAATCACTCTAGAATCACTTTTCAACTAGTGTTAATCATACAATATTCTGTTGGAGCTAGTTATCCTATCCTTAGAAGGTAAGTCGCTACCTCACGCCTCCTTCACCCTCTAGATCTACATCCTCTTGCGCCTTATTTCACACTACCGGTGTTGCTATTCCCTCCCTCACTAGTTCCGCTCTTCCCTCCCTTGCCAGTGCAACTGTCAACGGTATAAAGTCAGAGCAACATTCCGATATTTAGGCATACATTGAACTTGTTGAAGGCATCGTATGTATTACATGTCCGCGCGTCGATAACCTTTGACAGTGCTAGTGAACATCATCGACATCACCGATCTTCTTTCCCTTTTTCATCCTCCCATGCCCCACCTCCTATATTCATGATGATGGGTGTTTGGTTGACCAGGGTCCCTTTTTGGAATGTTTTAGTTGGATACTCATCATGGTCAGATTAGTGTATGTATAGTCTCAACGTCAAGCTAACATTTCGGGTAATATAGGAATTTATGCCTCCATTTTACAGATCCAAACATTGTCTCACTGTTGCTATTCTCCATAAAACATGGAAACCGTCTAAATGCAACGTAGACACAACTCATTTAGTTCTCAACCTCGGCCCATTTCAAAACATTTTGCACGAGCATGCGCCCTGTGGATCAATGGTATTCTTTGATGGCATGTTAGTGTAGTAAGCAAAACCAGAAAAAGTTTCAGTAAAAGAATGTGGAAGAGAAAATAAGTTTAGTTGTACAAGAAGAGTTTAGAAAAGGATGATATGACATGCAAAAGATAATAATTACCTATCAATATACTAACCAATTGATGCTGGATTGGGCAATGTTTTTTTATAAAGGGGTTATTAACTAAATCATCACATCAAGGTGATACAATCGAAATGTCTACAAATCCGGCCATTATATAGAAAGATGCACACAACTCAACATGCCTAGAAGACAAGAAATAAATAAACAGGGCATAATTTTACGTGAAAAGAAGTCCATCTAGGAGGGTTGGGGTGCCGATCCATAGACTAGACCGTACCCATGTGGGTTAAACACCTTACTGTAAATAGTTGCATGTCCTCCGTTCGCTGCAGAATAGAACATATCTGGAGCTCGTGCATACATAAATGTATAAACAGCAAACAAGAATAAGTTCTTATTTTCAGGAAAAAACACATCATTTGTGGATAGCCAAAGAACACATATAAGGCCATCATCCCAATCAAGATACGGAGCGAAGTTTTTTTATCGATACCCCACAACCAGATGCTAGAGAGATGTTTGATCGACTCATCTTGATGAGAAAAAACATAACTATCATTTCCTTGCTAGTTGCCTCACGTAGTGTTCTCCCTCATCAAAATCGCCCCTCGATACAAATACCAGAGAAATATCTTAACTTACAAAATAAATTTTAAGCTTCCATGACTTCTTATTATCTATTGATGCATCACAATAAACAAACGAAAAATTCATTAGATCCTTGTGAAATATGAAAGGACTCTAGTCCATCCAATAAAGCATTCTTTTTTAACACAGTACAATCAAAGTCGCTCACATAGGTGAGCATGCGCTCACCTTTATGAGCACACACCCGCATACTCTACCCCTATGAGCATCTCTGAGAGACTGAGGTCTGAAATAAATTCAGGAAAATACGAGCACCAATGTCAAGTTAGGCCTTGAACCCTGATGGGCTGGGGATATCACTGTCCTCCTAACCATCTAACACAAGTTGGTTCGCCATCCAATAAAGCATTCCATGCAACTAATCATGTTAGGTCCCTCAGAAAGAAACATTATCATAAATACTCCCAAGACTTTCAGTATTGTGGCATATTTATGTATGACAATATGACAAAGTCTAGGATATTGCTACTATAAGAGTACATTTCCCAACCAGGTGTCTTGTCAAAATCAAACTTGAGAGCTGTCACTGATAAATCAAGCTCCAAACCCGAAGAAGGATTGTTTCACCTTCATTGGTACAACCTAGAAATGCGAGTTTCCGGGTTTTTTGTGAACCTGAGAGATCGATTTAGAGCATCCGTGCTTATTATGTATGAGCTCATGTCATATGCCATGATGGACTGGGTAATGTGGCAAACACATCTCAAACATTACACCTGCTTGGGTTGCGATTGAAAAGTGCACAATTGGAACTCAACGCGTGCTATTGAAGATTTTGAAAGAAAAAAATGTCTACGAGACAATTTAAATGTTTATGTGTGACTATTGTTAATGCGAGATTTCTCTGTGTGTGACTCTCTTATTGCTTTTCTTGAAACATGTTGAAATTTATCATAATGGCCTACGTGTATTCTAAAATCCCTCCAATATTCCCAAAAAATGATATCATATTGTGGCAAAGTTGGGTGCTTCCTCTATCCTAACATTTTGTATACGGCCTCAAGATACATGTTGCACACGTATTACATTTCTTAGAATTAATCATTGTTCAACGGTGGAAACCGGGACAACATAAGTAACTAATTGGACAGAATATACAAATTTCGGTTAACAATGGAGGCTTTGTCATGTAGAAAGCAACGGCTAGACTTGAGTGAGGTGTTTTGCCTCCAGGTGACTTACTGCCTCGGAGCCTAACATTTTCAAAAACTGAAAGAATTTTTCAAAGTTCTTGTAACAAATTGATGTACATTTAGATATGGCATGAATACTCTAAATTGCATTCATATATATATTTCTATTTGCGTGCTGAATAAGAAAACAAGCGTGTAGATGATGATTGTAAATATTAGGATGATTATAAGCAACATGAAACACACACGCGGGCGCACACAGACACATAGACACGGGGAAGACATACACAATGTAAATAAAAGTAGACGACCAATGTAGTTCGAGCTAAGAAAAGGCCGAGTCCATGACACCTATTTCTGAGGAGAGATTCACAAGCAAGGCACTGAGGAGTGTCGTTGCTTCCGTTGAAGGGCATCTCGAATTGAGACCTTGCAAACTTTAACATCACCCGCTTGCTTAGCAGCCATCCAAAGCAGGCTAAACAGGAGCATATGTCATACAGTGAGTGTTATCGGTATTGTCGAAGAGCCTTACTCCACTAAGACAACATTGCCGAGACACCAGTCGTGTGGCTAATACTTGTGCCATGATTGCGAGGGTTCCTGCCGATGCCAACGAAGGGCCTTGCAGAATCAAGGTTCAACTGATGCCACGAACCTTTACCATATGCTCCGCTAAAGAGATTACCCTGAGCCGTTTGCGTGGTCTGGTCCGCCATATACACCGTCGAATAACACTAATCTAGCAAGACCACACCAGGAAAACGAAGCTCACTACCTTACCATCTACCATTGCCACGGGACAAGAGTCAAATCTAGGTGGCAGAACATATAGCCAATGACAACCATTACAAGGGGTAGCAAGTGGCAGCTTTGTGATGCCAACAAACGTCATCGACCCTGTGGCAAGAGCATCGATGATCAACGCAATGTTAAGAAAATGGCAGCCCTTGGCACACGGCATCGATGTCACAAAAATCCCAAAGAACACAAACCACTATCAACCCCAGGTTGGTCGCTCCACCACTGCCAGCATACCACGACAAGTAACTATTAATCTCATTGACCATGCTAACCCCAAGATGACACCTTCAAGAAAGGGTTGCAGCGTAGGTTGCACCGCTATCATCCGTACTGGGAGGCCCACAACTGGTGGGAGCTGGGTTTTCATCCCAATTTGCGAAGACACCCTCCTCTATTCAGCGCTCGATTTACCGAGACATCCAACGTACTTTCATTAGATGCACCATCACCAACCAAAACTAGGCTAAGTCGTAGCAGCCCCGCCACCGCCACCCGATACACACGGAGAAGATGAGCTGAGTAGTGCCAAACCACCCCAGGGTCTAGATCGAGCCACGCCCGGTAGGATCCAGAGTCTTGATGCATGTATCTTTCCGACAACCTCCAGTGCCCCTCACTCACCTCCCACCCACTAGATATAGCACACGGGAGGGGCTGTCACCCCACAGTAGGGTTGTGTGTCTCGAGATATGTATCATTGAGGGCCACAAGGAAGGAGATCGCCACGCGGCCCATGCCGCCACAGTCACCGCCATTACCACTACAAAGTGCTTCCAAGATGCCCATGCACTACCCCGTCCATGGCTAAGAACCACTAGCCAGCGCATGCTGCCGCCAAGAGGTACGTCATTGGGTGTTTGCCAATG